CATGTTGCCGATTTGAAGTCTCGTCACCATGAGGTGGAGGGTGCAAGACATCTTGATTGGAATGAAGGGAGTGGGTGAAGATTATGAGAATGGTGAAGAAGCAGCTGAAGAAGTATCTGGAGCGTGAGTAATGTGATAGATTAGCTAAGGAATCTGATAGTCAAATGGTGAAGCATGAGATAAATTAGTGGCAGTTGTATAGATTGTGCTTGTAGATGGTACAAGAGTGAGCATAGAAACACATGCAGAAGATGTTGAAATGGCTATGGAATTTAAGGCGGAAGTGATCTCTGAATCAGCACAGGGAAACATAATTTTATGGAGAAGTACATGAGAAACAAAATTTTATGGTGTAAGACACAACAAAAGGATTTCAGTGTAAATTTACAGGGAAAGTCATTCAAAAATTTTTAGATGGGAATACTAAAGTGTTTTATTGAATAACAATTGATATGAGAAAAATAAGGTTATTGTTAAAGAAGGAATTTGATTGATTAGATATACTGCAATGAGAGTGGCATCAATCTGCATTCAGAATGACATCAATCCAAATACAAAACACCAATGAGCTTGTAATAAGAGTGCACAAACAATCTCGATTAAGTGATGGAGCTTTCATTCAGCTACATCATTTTGTTCATGTATAGGAATAGCTATACTGATGGAGAATGCCTAGTTGAGCCCAAGAGGTTTTGAAACAATGTGTTGGAATACTCATCACCACAATCTAAACGAAAGGTTTTGAGAGTGAAGCATTGAATTGTCGTTAGATCATTTCTTTAAATTGGGTAAATTTGGAGAGCATTTCAGAGTTATTTTCATTGGACACAACTAGAAAAAAACAAGAACAGACATCAATAAAAAAAAACATAATATCCATTAAAAGAAGTAACAGAGGAAGTATCACATACATCTAAATGAACAACCTCAAAAAAAGAAAAACATTTTGATGTAGATAGAGTGCAAAATTTTCTATGATTTTTTAACTAATTGACATGAATTACATGGAGAAATAGATAGAGAAATTCATATGGTAGAATCTTGTTTATCTATACTAGATATAACAACAGGATGAGAATGAACTAAACAGCCGTGCAAAGTGGTAGTGGAGTTGATAGTAGAGGTTAAAAAGCAACATGGCTGAAGTCCCGAGATGATTGAGAATGAAGACAAATAGGACAAAGCCTGTCATGGCAATATCCTGAGAGAATTTTTCGATTGATCTTATGATCCTTAACATAATAGCTTTTTGCATTGAAGGAAATTAAATATGAGTCGTCGAAAATAAGATGATGAACGGACATAAGATTGTGGGAAACTTTTAGAACATGAAGATGTGTGGATAAGAGAAGCTTATGGTGAGTAGAAAGGCGGCCTTAGACAATATTGGGAATTGAAAGAGATTATCCATTCCTAACCACAAAGATTTCCAAGATAGATTTGCAATTCAATTAGCAGCTTGTAATCAAAGGCGATATGGGATTTAGCACCTGAGTCAAAATACCAATCATTGGGCTGAATTGGGGCATCTACAATAAAGGCCTGAGAAGTAGCTTTGTTGATGTAGTTCAATTTTTTTGTGATGCCAACATTTAAAAGACGAATAACCCAGTTTGTCACAAATATGACACTCAAATCCTTGTGTATTGTTCTAACCTCCTCACTGCATGAAAGATGAGTGACGCCCTTGAGGACCAAAAGAAATAGGGTTACACCCTCTAAACAATCAAACGAAAAATGGCTAATTGGTAGCTCTACCATGGCTTATTATAAGCACCACAAAGGGTTCTGAAATCTAAGCGACTTTAAATTCTTATGCAGCTTCATTAGCCAAATTTATTTCCTCATTGCAAAGCAGTGAATATAAATCATCTAAAATTAATGGCTAGATATTAGTCCTAATAGCAATTTTAAATGTTTGATAAATGGAGTGGATGAAAGTGTACGGAAAACTCAAGAGGGGTGAATTTATATATCTTTTAAAAAAATATAATTATACACCTAAAAAACATCATTTTTTTTTTGTCAAATAGTGTAAATAAGGCTATTTTCTTAAGAACAAATATAGAAAAAAATTAATTATACACCAAAATGATAGAAAAATATTTTTATTTCTTCTTTAAAAAAAAGTACTTTCAAAGTTATTTGGCAAGTTTAAAAGAAAAAATAATTTGTCATAACCAAACAAATATCCAAGAAAATTTTAATAATTTTCAATTAGTATTCCATCAACGATATCTCAATTAAACATATAGCCACATATGAAATAGTGTAAATAAATAAAATGCGGAAGAAAAATGCAAATAAAAATGAACAAACTGATTTATCGTGGTCTGACCTAAGGGGCTACGTCCACTCCCAAGTCCTCTACGTGGGATTTCCACTATTACTCTCTCCTTCTGCTCCTAACAAGACATAGAAGCCTCTCTCCATCCCAGAGTAATAGAGAAAGCCTTACACCGCTCTTCCCCTCGAAATTAATCCTTAGTTGCTCCAACTAAATTCATAAGGTACACAAGGCCTTTGCAAGATCTTCAAAACCTTTACAACAAGACTCCATAAAGCTCTCCACCAAGACCTTTGGCTTCAACACAAATGACTATAAAAATATGCTTGGAAACCAACCATTTAAACGCCCGAAACAAATTTCAATAACTCTCTCTAGAAATTAATCACAAGCTTCTCACTTCTCTTGTCTCATAATCCTCTAAAAAATCACTAGCAAATTTGTAAAAACTCTCTCTCAAAACTCTCAAAACACCTGAGAACTCCTTCACATGAGTTCAAGTTTCTTAGATATCATATATACATAAGATGGCTCCCATAGAAACCCTAAAAATATCGATTAATAGAATAGTATGCTTGATCTACAATCAACCTGAAACAATACAAGTAGTATATTCACCTTAAAACCCTAAAAACTATACTCTGCTATTCGATCAAACTATATGACATAAAACATACAGTACAATTAGCTCAATATGCTCTCTATTTATTCGAATTGTACTATGTGATTCATATAGTATGGTTTTTTTTTTAATTTGATTTTTAATTACTGTCATGGATTATCGTATCCTAAATAGGTAAATCTCATAGATAATCATACAGTATGATCTGTTCAAATTTGAATTTATCTATTTAAGAAGAGAGAAGATAATGACGGGTTTATATTTGAATATAATTGATTGCATGGCCTAACTTGGGTCGGACAATACGATTAATTTTAAAAAAATTTATGCATATTTTTTGTTAATTAACACTTGAATTTTCAAAATTACCAGCATGTCACACATATTGTACAATGCAATCCAAATCGTGCAGTACAATTTTACAACAAATCAATGTTTTAATTAACTAATCATTTTTATAACATATTTACTCTTATTTATGTGTGCTTGTTTGTTTAGCAAATCATATACCACGTATAATTACAAGAAAACTTAAAATAAAAATAAAAAATAAAATTATAAGTTTTATTGCTTTAGCGGTTTTCTTTTCTTTGATGGCTTTATTTCTTCAATAGTGGTTGATCACGCTTTTGTAATTACCATCTAGTGTGTGTCCAGTATCATCTGGTTTTCGTCTTCTAATTTGCCTAAAATGTTGGCTTAAACAAAAAGAGATTTATACACATAAATTCATTAGCTTAATTTTCACAACCAACAATGTCTATGATTTTCAAAATCTTAGTAATTTCACCATGCTCATAGGTTCAACAGTGGAGACCATTAAGAGTTATATAATAATATATTGATAATCAAGGGAGGAATCCATAGTTGTCCACCTTCGATTTTATTTTAGAAATATATTATTGCATAAATTGATTCTTCACAAAAATGTAATGAGCAAGAATGATTACTTGACTGCAATCATTTATAAATTTAAGATATAGGTTAATAAATGTGCAGTTATGGTAGATAACAAGGTAGCAATCAAGACTTGATCTACCAACATCCAAGTAGAGTATAGAGGGTTAGAAAAAATGTTGCCGGCGAGCAATGGAACCATCAAGATAACCTTCAACTTGAGCACGCCATGTTAGGTGATTTTTCCAAGTGTCAAGTGAATGGTAATGACATTTTTAATGGTAGACATCCAATACTTGAGGCGTCCGGGAAATGCTAACCAAAGGCATAGAGTCAACACCAATCTTCACATGAGTTTTCGAAGCGATAGAAAGGAGGAAGAGAGTATTGATGATAGACAAGAAGAAAAAATAAAGTCATGTGGCTTGAGGGCTTTGATACCAAGACAATTGATAAGAGGACAAAGATGAACATAATGGTATTTCATTACTCTAACAATGCAACAGTAAGTATCAAATACAAATTAGGGAAACCAAAATCAATATCGCCAATTGTGGTTATAAATATATGGCCTAGATTATGGCTTCATTTTAGACAACTTTCATACTGCTATGTTTTTTAAACTATAACCATGATTTTTATTTGGTCATTGCGTTTTTACCGCTTTCAATAATTTTTTCACCACTTTCAATATTTTTTTATGCTAGGAAGCTTCTTTCTACAGCAGCTTCAAAAAAATAGCTTTCTCCACAACAACTTTACAATCAACTTTATAAAAAATTGCAATCATCTCAAACATAACTAATGTCATTAGATATTAAAGGCGGGGATTTGGTGCATCATTACTGCATATAGGAAGAGGCAGACAAAGACAGATGCAACAGAACTTTATTCCATTAGCACATAGCACAGTTGAAGTCGAAAGGATCAAAATTTAGAGAAATATAGAAAGGCCCCGACTTCAAAGCAATGTTATTTTAAATACAAAGCTATAAATTTATGCTATTGTGCTATACCATTTCGAACGGTAGTCCAATTGGACGGATTTTTTTTTTACTTTTCTTTCAATGTCAATCAAACAGACTATTCTTGCCCAACTCAGCCCTCGCCGAAACACACAATGGGCCGAATTTCTCAAGAATATATTTTTGCCCTTCTTAAGGCATTTGAAAAGTGATAAGTAAAAGGTTCTGGTTTATAACTACAAAACAATTAGTTCCATAGCATCTTCAAGCAAATTATACTTTACGACACATAACATAATTGCAACTTATACGGTTCTTTGCATCATTTACAACTATTTTATTTAAAACCTCGCACATAAACACAAGAACTGCGTACTTAGCTGCACTTGATAATTTCTGCTATGATAACAGAAACATTAAAAAGACATGCATTTACTTATACAGCGCAGCAAGAAAAAAAAATCTAAAGCAACAAATAAAACCGGGAGAAAAAGGAACCAAGAATCCAACAACCAGAGAGACGCCTACCATACCCGAACCACCACAATCCGGAGAACCCCGCCTAAGCTCCAGGGGCAGCATCCTTGATCCGGCTCTGCAAATACCCACCATACTCGCGAGCGTAATCCTTCACATGGCTCGCCGTGTCGACGATCCGACTCCGGGCGAAATCGATCCGATCCGATCCAACCGGATGCCGACCTGTGAAGTACCGGTAAAGCCACGTCGCCACAGCCGCCGCCGCAACGGCGGCACCGACCGCCGACGCGGCTCCGGCAAGCAACACGAACGCCACCGCACCCACCGGAACCCACACAGGGCTCGTTATCAGTAGCAGCGGCCCGAACACGATAAGACCCAGCGTAGCCCCACTCACCGTCAATCCGGCGAGGATGAGAAGAATTGCGGCGGAGATGACGAGAGAAAAGAACCCCACAACCTGGCTCGAGGTTGGCGCGTGTTCCTGGATCCATCTGAGTAGCGCACTACCGACGCCGGAGTTGTCACGGAAAATTGCCATCGTTCGACTCCCACTTTGCCGATCAGCCATGGTTGGTCGGTAGCGTAAAGCTGTTGACAGCGAATGGTTGGTGCTGAAGGAAACTGAAGGAGAGGGGATTAATGAGGTGCGGAGCGGAGGACAGTCGGGGATTTAAGGGAATTGAAGGAATAGGGCGACACGTGTGGGATTTGGTTATTTACATTCCCATGCGTGATTACACGTGTGAAGCGTGAGAGTGAAGCGTGAGAGTGAAGCGTGAGAGCTTCAGGAGGATGCCACGGGTCTCGTTTTTCTATGGCTCGCAAACGACAGATTGTTGAAGAAAATTTCAATCGGAAGTAGGGCCAAAATCACATGGCGCCACCCCATTGCTTGCACGTTTTTTTTAATAAAATCATGGATACAGGTAAGTTTCGACTTACGTAGTTATTTAATTCTAAAAAAAACTAGATCACAGTAATAAAAATATTTTAATTGGATCCAGGTATCTCACATGTGCTTAATAGGTTTCAGAACGGGAACACTGACCTGGCAAACTAGCAGTAAAGACTCGATCAATACTGGTTGAATCCATCAGGACCCTCCAGGCTCTGTGAATTCTTCTCCTAAGTGGAGTTGCCTTCTCAGAGCAACTCGTTAACATGCCCAGTCAACATGCCATTAATGGCATTCTTTGATCCAACGGGAAGACACAAATGCACTTCTTCACACTAGACCAATTGTGAGTTTGCAAACGGCACACCTCAATTTTACTTGTCCTTCATATTGAAATGGCTTAAGAACCGTGCCCAACAGGTCGTTAATGCAACCAAAGGACCGGTTGTCATAGACTCAACCAATTTGATCCATCCAAAGGACTCGCTTTTCTCGACTCACCCATGAACACTTAGCCAAAGTGGAAATATCACATGAAGTAGCTACCATAACGTAAAATGTGTTTTAAACAATATGTATTGTCTCTTTTATTAGTGTACCTTCTTGTATTTTTGTGTAGCTTTTTATGTAGTCATTTGATTCCTATAAATAAATTGTGAAAATACACATTTTGAATATTTTTTTCTATTTTATAACTGTTGCGTCCTGGAATATTCGCGGCAGAAGAGAAATATATGGTTTAACGTCTTAACATTGTACGAAGATCCAGCACACAAGCAAATAAGAGAAGGGGTGAAACATTCATAAGAGACACTAGAGTTTTTACGTTGAAAACCCCTAAAAAGGGAGAAAACCACGGGGCCTGGCCCAGTTTTAATGAATCCACTAGTATTTGCAATCGATTACAAATGAGGCCCTTCCTTTGGAGAAGGGCTTGTATTGATGTAGCAAATATACATCATATAGATTGCATTACATAGTAGGAGTTACATATACATGTTTGTTTGGTCGGAAGGACCGTAGTCAGCAGGAGACCGGGGTCAGAAAGACCGTTGTTTGTTGATGGATGTCAGAAGGACCATAGTAGGAGACGGAGGTCTGAAGGACCGTAGTCAGCAGGAGATCGAAGTCAGAAAGATCGTTGTCTGTTAATGGAGATCGGAAGGACCATAGTAGGCGACGGAGATCGAAAGGACCGTAGTCGGTAGGAGACCTGGGTCAGAAAGACCGTTGTCTGGTGATGGAGGTCGGACGGACCGTAGTAGGCTACGGAGGTCGAAAGGACCGTAGTCGGCAGGAGACCTGGGTCAGAAAGACTGTTGTCTGGTGATGGAGGTCAGACGGACCGTAGTAGGCGACGAAGGTCGAAAGGACCGTAGTCGGCAGGAGACCTTGGTTAGAAAGACCGTTGTCTGTTGATGGAGGCCGGAAGGACCATAGTAGGCGACGGAGGTCGAAAGGACCATAGTCGGCAGTATTCTAGGAGAACTGTGGGCATCATGTGGTGGCTTGGTGGAGCTCAAGGCCTCAAGTAGTGGTCCGGCGGAAATCTGGGCCCATGTGATGTACTGGTGGAGCACACAGCCTTTGATGATGATCTAACGAAGGCAAGGGCCTCTGATGAAGACGTCGGGCCTAAACGTCGGGCCTTGAGCAGAACGTTGGGCCTTCAGCAGAACATCGGGACTTGAGCAGAATGTCGGGCCTTGAGCAGAATGTCGGGCCTTCAGCAAAACGTCGGGCTTGAACGTCGGGCCTTCAACAGAATGTTAGGCCTGAACATCGGGCCTTGAGGTCGTGGTGCGGCGAAACTCCGGAGGTGGTCCGGCGAGGCTCCGGCAGTGGTCCGTCGAGCTCCGACGGTGGTCCGGCGAGGTTCCGGCGATGGTCGAGGAGGAGCTTCTTCCTCCTCCTCTTCCTTCTCCTCTCCTCTTCTCTTCTTGCTTTGGATCCCCCTTGTAAAGAATGAGGGCTCTATTTATAGATTTTCTGGAGTGGCATAGCTAGTAAATAGGTGTGAGATCAGGGGCGAATAGGGAGTGGTCGAATGGACGGCCGATATTGAATCCTATGATCATGCACCGTTTGTTGGACATTTGAAGGCCTTAATGATGTCAGAATTCTGTGATCTTGGGCTCGTTGGATTCGTCTCGCCGAGCCGTTCGATTCGAGTATAAGCTCGTTAAAATCAAAGACCGTTTGGAAACTCAAATTGCGGTTTGAACCTTCCAACAGCGCTTCGGGTCCATGATTCGATCCTATTTGGGCTCGGATTGGGTCGAATTTGGTGTCGTTGTTTTTGTATTTCCGAGATGCTCAGTTTGACTATAAGCTCGCTAAAATCAAAGATCAACTGCTCCTGAATTTAATTTTTGAAATTTTCGGGTAGATTTTGCCTCGAGATTCGTGTCCGATCAAGATAATTTCATGATGACGTATCAGTTGCCCCCCTATTTTCAGACGTCAAAGCTCCAGGAGTCTGAAAATACTTATTCCGAAATTTTACACTGGCCGAATCGCAAAAATTGCGTTCTAAAAGTTGAACACTTGCACAAACTTAATGTTAGAGGCCCCGTTGAGCTCCGAAATTGTCGAATTCGAGTCCGAAATGTTGAAAAACGTGTTCGGGGACCCCAAAAATGTCCAAATCGGACCGTCCGGGACGAAGATCAGGGCCCGGGAACGTTTGACAGCCGGCTGCCATCGACGAGAGCCCGCGCGTTAGCGCGGGCTAGAGGGGCGCGTGAGGCGCCTCTTGTGAGGCGCCTCTTGTGAGGCTGTAAATTTTTTTTTTTCAACGTCTTTGTTAAACTGAAATATGCAATTTTTTTTAAAATTTTTTTTAATTAAAGTGGGCCCCACATGGATTTAAAAAAATTGAAAAAATCATAAAAAATTTCAGAAAATTTTAATTTTTTTAAAAATTCTAGAAAACTCTAGAAACTTCCCCCCTTCTCTCACAAAAAGTATAAATAGACCCCTAGGGCCTTTAGAAAGATTGCTCTTTCCCTCTTCTTCTCCTCTTTTCTTCTTCTCCCTCTGTCCTTACAATTTATGTATTTCCTTGATTTTCCAATGCCGCTCTATTTGCAAGGAAGTCCGGAGATCCCTCATTCTCCCTCTATTCTTACAATTGAGGCTTTCCCTCGGCGTTGTCCAGGCCCGAGGCCCCTCTCTTTGCAAGGAAGTCCGGAGATCCCTCCTTCTCCCTCTATTCTTACAATTGAGGCTTTCCCTTGGCCTTGTCCAGGCCCGAGACCCCTCTCTTTGCAAGGAAGTCCGGAGATCAATCCTTTCTCCCTCTATTCATCGAGAGATCTTACGGAGTTCTGATGTTAGTTGGTTGGAGATGGAGGTTAGAGAGATCGTTGTAAGGAGGGAGGTTGAAAATACTGTTGAAGTGCAAAAATCCGGCATCGATTGGGAGGCTGACAGCGGACAGAAGTCCGACGAAGGTTGGAGAAGTACGTCGATGAATAGAAATTCAACGGCATATAAAAGCCCGATGAATGTCCATCGATATGCAAGAGTTCGACGTCGAGTAGAAGACCGATGATAGTCCCGCAATGAGTATAAGTCCAGCGTCGTGTAGGTGTACAAAAACTTATTGATATGCAAAAAATCGACGACGGGTTGTAGTCTGACGGTAGATAGAACTTCCATGTCTGGTAGAAGTACGATGTCGGGAAGAAGACCGACAAAAGTCCATTGACGGACAGAAGTCCGACGGGTAGTAGTCCGACGTCGAGTAGAAGTACGGTGTTGGTTATCGACGGGCAGAAGTTTGACGACGTCTAATAGTTCAACGTTGAGTAAAAGTTTGGCGTTGGGTAGAAGTATTGTGTCGGGTAGAAGATCGATAAAAGTTTGACGTCGACGAGCAGAAGTCCGACGACGAGTAGAACTCTGTTGACAAGTAAAAGTCCGACGACGAGTAGAAGTCTGCTGACGAGTAGAAGTCTGACGTCGGGTAAAAAAACTGGGTCGGGTAGAAGACTGACAAAAGTTCATCGACGAGCAGAAGTCCGACGACGAATAGAAGTCTGCTGACGAACAGAAGTCCGACGACGAGTAGAAGTCCACTGACGAGCAGAAGTCTGACGATAAGGAGAAGTCCGACGTCGGGTAGAAGCACTGAGTCGGGTAGAAGACCGACGAAAGTCCCTCGACGGCCAGTAATCCATCGACAGGTAGTAGTCCGACGGCATGCTGAAGTTCGACATTGGGTAGAAGATCGACGAAAGTCCATCGACGGGCAGAAGTCCAGCGACGGGTAGAAATACAGCCTCGGACAGAAGACCGATGAAAGTTTGTCGACGGGCAGAAGTCAGACGATGAGTAGAAGTCCGCTGACGAGCAGAAGTTCGACGACAGGGAGAAGTCTGACGTCGGGTAGAAGAATTGAGTCGGGTAGAAGACCTACGAAAGTCCCTCAACGGCCAGTAGTCTGACGGCACGCAGAAGTCTGACGTCGGGCATTAGTCCGTCGAAAGTCCTACAAGGCAAAAATTCAGCGACAGGAGAAAATTCAACATAAGGTAGAAATTTAACTTTGTGTAGAAGTCCATTGATGACATTCTGGTGACGTTAACCAAGGATGTATAATCTATCCGAGGTTATTTGTCAGAGCCTTTGCTCGATGATGTTAACCGATATTGGATCCACCAATGAAGTAAGACCTATCCGAGGTTGTATGTCATAGCCTTTGCCCAATGACGTTAACCTGTATGGAAGAGGTCGAGAGAATCCACCAAAGGTATAAGAC